TTGGTTGTTTTTTGTTTCTGTTTCTGTTTTCTTTTTTTTCTCTCTCCATTTCTACACTACTGATACACACACGTACATGCATGCCTCATAAAACGACTTCCATCATAAATCCATGTGCATGTTTGTTCATTTGTTTGTTTGTTTGGTGTTTTTGTTTTCATCTTATTTTTGCTTAATGATACACACACGTACATCTATGCTTCATAAATTAATGACTTCCTTTAAAATTCATGTGCGTGTTTGTTTGTTTATTTGTCAGTTTGTTTGGTGACTTTTTTTCATTGTATTTGTACTTTGTTGATACACACACCTGCATGTATGTTTAATAAAATAAAACCAATTATACATTTTTGTGATTGCCTGTGTGTGTGTGTGTGTGTGTGTGTGTGTGTGTGTGTGTGTGTGTGTGTGTGTGTGTGTGTGTGTGTGTGTGTGTGTAAGTAGATCTACAGGTTTTCGACTGCAGTCTAGCTAAAAAGCTCAGTTCCATTGGTGAAATAAGATCACAGAATTGTATTCGACCAAAAATATAGTATACTACGTATACATGGTAAGGGGTAAGGAGAATTAAAGCAGAATAACTAAAGTGGTTCTAAAAAGCAATAGCCACTTTGCCCAATGGTTTATAGTAGGTTTGATTCCAGAATCTGAGGTTCCGCAGATTAAACATTTGTATGGTACAGCAAAATAATATGGGCCTATGTTTGTCCGCTTTGACAAATTAAAAATACTCTGGAGACCCATGCATCATAAATTAAAATCCACGCTGAAAAATTTGAGAGAGTAATTTATAATTTTGAGATAGAGATTATATGGGAGTATTGGTGTAAACTAACATGATAAACCTATATTAGTCTTCGAGTTACCACGTATGTATCTTTCATGTATCATTGTTTAAATGTCTCTTTCTCAACCAACAATCAGGAATGCACTACTGGTACGACGTGAAAGAAAACATGGACTGTGGCGGACTGTTCCCTGTTTTCCTCCTCTACAACGGGGGCAAACTCAATGCTTTTGGTTGGGCCATGCAAACTGGTCTCAGTTCATCTCAATACGAGCACCCTGACATTACAGTAATCGATGTAAGTCCAATCAATCAATCAATCAATCAGCAATCAATCAATCAACCAATCAATCAATCAGTCAATCAATCAACTAACCAATCAATCAATCAATCATTCAATCAATCGGGCGATCGTTCCTTTATCAACCCTCCTTGCTTTAATCCTCATTATCAGTACTTGGTAGACTCAAACATTATATTATATGGCTGTACTGGAAAAGAAAAAGGTCAGGTCCTACTTTAGAAGCTCCGAAAAGATTCACAGACAGTCATTTATTTAACTTGAGAGTTAAAGACTAGTCTTTACACTTGGAAGCCTTTGAAACCAGAAAGATTAACCTAAATAATATCTACAGAGATATCAATAAGTTTTTTTTACCTGAGTATGAAGGAGTGGAGCTACGAACTTAAAATTTGAAATGTAGACACTTATTTCTCTATGTAGTCACCAGACGCAAGGCCACATTTTTGCCAGCAATGGAAGACCTTGAAAAGTTCTTCAGAAAAAAAGATCGATTTTGCCTTTTTTTAAAGTGCTCCCCTTTGTTTAAGACGTCATCATCTGTTTCAAATTAAATTGTCTGCCCTTCATGTGTTTCTTCAAATTCAGAATTTTAAAAAGTTTGAAGGTGCTAAGTCGGGGGAATACGGTGGGTGTGGCAATATTTCAAGTCGACATTCCTCAGCAGTGGATATCGCCTTATGCGTCGCGTGTGCCGGGGCATTGTTAAGAAGCAAAAAGACACCTTTCCTCAGTTT